GTAGCTCTCCTATTTCCTGACTTCTGCCCAGTGTCACACAGCTGTAAAGATTTCACTGAAGAATAAAAAGATGTACCAGTTTTGACTGGGATGGAGCTTGTTCATAGTAGCTGGTTTAGTGCTATGTTTTGCCTTTGTGACCAAAAGAGCATGGGTAACACACTGATATTTTAGCTATTGCTGAGCAGTGCTCACACAGCATCAAGGGCTTTTTTGCTTCTCACACTACCCCACCAGCAAGGAGGCTGGAGATGGGTAAGAAGCTGGAAGCAGACACAGCTGGGACAGCTGACCCCAGCTGAGCAAAGGAATATCCCATACCATATGGCATCATGCTCAGCATGGAAAGCTGGGGGAAGGAGGAAGGGGAGGGAAGAGGCATTTGGAGAGATGGCGTTTGTCTTCATAAGTCACTGTTACGTGCGATGGAGCTCTGCTTTCCTGGGGATGGCCCAACACCTGCCTGCCCATGGGAACTGGTGAATTAATTACTTGTTTTGCTTTACTTGTGCGTGTGACTTTTGCTTTCCTTATTAAACTGTCTTTATCTCAAACCCTGAGTTTTCGCACTTTTACCCTTCTGGTTGTTCTCCCGCATCCCACTGGAGGGGAGTAAGAGAGCAGTTGCATGGAGCTGAGCTGCCCACCAGGGTTAACCCGTAACTGTCCCCTCTGGCACCTAGTGTGGGGCATGAGGGGTTAGAGATAACAATAGGTTTGATCATAGTATGCTATATCAAATTTATATCTCTTTAGATATTAATTGTCAGGCTCCTGTGCTTGTCATGGGGCTTGCTTGCCTGGCTGTAGATTAGAAACTATTGCTCATTACTGGCTGCTTTTTGCTTCTGCTGTTTGCTTCTTCTGTTCTCCTTATCATCCTATTCTGCTCTGCCTGGGAACGTACTGATAACAAGAATGGGCTGGCAGATGGCCAGGGCAATGCTGCCATACCTGTGCTGGACAGGCTGGATCTCAAATTCACAGGACTGTGACTGTGGGTAAGTTCATGCTGGAGCAGGTACAACCAGAAACAGAGGTGGCCATAGAGTAGTCTGTGCCAGAGCAGGTACTTCCCTGCAGGGTCTGTGGCCTATGGGTATTGTCATTCTGGAGCAGCTACATCCCTAAGGAATGTAGAGAAGCCCACACTGGACCATATACTGCCCCAGTGGACTGTGGACCTGTGAATAATCCCAAGCTGGAACAGGGGCAAGGGGAAGAGTTCACTGCAATGAACTCTATGGTCTGGTCCAAAGGGACAAGGGGTGAAGACTGTAATGTAAATACCTTTAAATTTTTGTAACCAAGGATTTGAGTTGCATGTTACAAAAATTACTGTAGCAGGAATCCCCTGTTGCTAGCCCGGTTAGGAGCAAAGGGAGCAAACCCTATTGCTACAGCCTATTGTTAAATCCTACAACCTGGCCCAAAGGAACCTGAGGTGGAGACTGTAATGGAAATACCTTTAAATTGTTGTAACCCAGGATCTGAGTTGTGTTTTATAGGAATAACTATAACAGGAACCATCTGAACCAAGAGAGGAAAAGCCTGACAAGAAGATGCGAAAGTGCAGCAGTGACCCAACCTGAGCTGTCTTTGGTGCTCAGCAACTCCATACAGCACACCACCTCTCCTGTCCAGAGTGACCACCATAACAGATTGAATAAACATGGACTAAATGAACTCAATGGACATTTTGTGGACCTTTTAAAGGGGTGGTCCATAGACTAAGGGGATGATATCTGCGTATATATCACAGGATAGGAAAGAGTGGGTTGTTAATGAGGGAGTGTGGGACCTGAGCATGATGTCAATGGTATGGAATAAAGAGTGGAAATTACATTGGTTCTGGCTGGGATGGAGTTAATTTTCTTCATAAAAGCATGTGTAGTACTGAAGTTTGGATTTGTGACCAAAACACTTGATAACACACTGACATTCTTGCTATTCCTAAGCAGAGCTTCCAAGTCAAGGCCTTTTCTGCTTCTCACACCACCCCACCAGTGAGCAGGCTGGGGGTGCACAAGCAGTTGGGAAGGGACACAGCCGGGACAGCTGATCCCAACTGACCCAAGGGATATCCCAGACCTATGACATTCAGTTCAGTGATAAAAACTGGGGAAAGGTGGAAGGAGTGACATTTGGTGCTACAACATCCGTGTTCCCAAGTCACCATCACATATGATGGAGCCCCACTTTCAGGAGATGGCTGATCATCTGTCTGCCTGCGGGAAGTTGGGGTTGAATTCCTTGTTTTTCTTTGCTTGCACACACAGCCTTTGTCTTTATCTCAGCTCTCGAGTTTTATCACTCATGCCCTTTTGATTCTTTCCCTCATCCCACCAGGGGGGAGAGAGTGAGCAGCTGTGTGGAGCTTAAGCTGCCCACTGGAGTTAACCCACAACAAAAGTCTATAGTAATTGGAACATCAGGCAATAGTTTGTTAATTGGTGAAAGTGCAAACTTCCCATCAGAAAAAAATCCCACAGTTTCCAGAAGAGACAGAAACTGAGATAATGAGGACTTTGTCAACCACTTCTAAAGGTGTTTATACTCCCTGTGGGCAAGAGAAAAATATTGCTGTTGGGATTATTGTACTGGCCATTGAGCACGGCACAGTACAAACATACAGGAGGATAATACCCTCTGCCAAAGGCCAAGTTTCAATACTTTTGGTGATGACAGAGCACAACATCATTCTGCACATCATTTTACAGAAACTGATCTGAACAATGAGCAGGTACAGTCCTAGTACACCTGACTAAGACCCAAGGCACTGGGACAGGAAACAAAAGCCTGAATCCACAGCTTGTTTTACAGAAGTAAGTATTGATAATACATGGTAGCACAGTCACTCAAGCTATTTCAAGGGAATTAAAGAGTAAGAACTCATTATATTTTTCAATATAAATGTCATTATTTCTCTCTGCCCTTTGAGTGTTAACACTAAGGTGAATCAGCTGATCATAGTTCCCTCTGGCCCTGACTTTACGCTACTGTTTCAGAACAATTTCACTAATATTTGCAGTCTGGTCAATCCTGCTGGAAAATATGGCTTGGGGGGTGGGGTTAGATGCACAGTTATACACATAGAATTACTGGGGGGCTTGACCCCAGATGCGGATGAAGCAGTATTTTCTTTAACAGCCTTATTTCAAGTGTTCTCTAACACTATTCTACAAACATCTTCACTTTGTAATATCCTCATTTTTCCTGATTTTTGGAGATAGGATCTTCAAAGAACCATTCATCTAAAAACATTTTGCTGACATAGCTTTCAAATCTGTATAACATTAATGATGTCAAGACGCCTGATGCTATAATTTCAAAGGCTTCTCTTAATTATTGTTTGTTTTTTCTAATTTGAATGAGTGATGCGACTTTTGTACCCCTCAGAACTAGCCCATTTTCCATGATTACAATCTCAGCCCAACACTGGCCACGAACTGTCTGCAGCTGACACATCCAAGGACAGAACAGTATCGCTTCGTGATACAAAAAGTATCACTTTTTGGATGATTTTACAGCTTTAAATTACTTGCTATTAGCATCCATAGTGCCTGTGTCAATTTTAAAAATGTTATTTAGGTGCTTTTTAAAATCTGACCTGCTCAGATTTTATGTACAGATTTTATGTACAGATTTTGTCGATTATGTATAGATCAGATCAAAACTATAACTCTTTCCTTGAAGTTCTCTGAGGGTTGAATTTCCCTGAAATTCTCCTCACATACCTCAGTAGTTAGATCCAAGCACTCCCAAATCCAACCTTCACAAAGTGTTTAGTTTTGCTTAAAGCCACTGCAGTGAAAGGTTTGAGTTCAGTGTCAACCCTAATATAAGTGTAGAAATTTAGTTTCAGCCTACTCCTGCCAACAATTCAAACCCATGCCCTGAAATGTATGAGCCACAAGTAAACCTGACTCTAGAGCATCCAGCAGGACCTCTCCTGTACATGCAGTCACTTAGAAACATGTGCCGTTGGGGAAATGAGAAATATTTAGAAATGCCGAACAATAAACTATTAAGTCTATCAATTTATAAAATGGAACAGTTAACCACCAAAAAAGTGTGGAGAGGAAAAAAATAACTGTGTAACCATTGCAACCAAAGGAATACATCACATAGAAACTATATCCTGTGTGAGGTTTTGCTATGTAGCCACTACAGAGAAAAAGCTACGATCTCCAAGCCCCGCCAATGCAGCAAGCCAAGTATGGCTGCAGCCATGCACTGGGACAGACTGTGGGCACTCAGTCATGGCTTTTTATATTTTACAGTCTTTGCTTCATGGAAACTCCCAGTGGAATTCCCTACTGGACTACTTGCTGGTTACATTTTGCCTAAGTAAAAAGTGGAGGTTCAAGTTATTCATGTGCAAACAGCTTCTCTAAATGTTTCCATTTAAACGAACTCTCAGAATAATTTACTGCACTTAAACAGCCAGCAGAAACAACTGAAGCTTTCCTAATCTGGTTACAAAACAATGGCCAAAATATCACACGGTCATTTAAAAATAACAGTTTTACCAAAACTAAATTTTCCTTTAAACCATTTCTAGTCAAAGTCTGCAAAACAATTAACTTGTAGATGATATTCATAAATATGAAGCAAGCACTAAAAATGCTTTATTCAGAGTTTGTAAAGGCTTGCTTTAAGTATTTGTGTTTAATTATCACTGGTAATTTGAAGCTTGAGCTTTGAAAGTATCCAAGCTAAACACCTGTTTTTCAGCGCCACTGAGCTGCTGCTTATCAATTACAAATATCTTTAGAATAATAAACCATAAAGAATAAAAATGCAATTTTTTTAGCACTTAACTATATATTGGTCCCAATAACTCTTAATATTCAGGGCTTACAATAGAACATGGCTGAGATCATACACAAACAGTTTAAAAGAATTAAGTAACCACATTTTAGAGATGTGTCTCCTGCAGCTAAAGTAATTCAAGAAAACCATTCAAATAAGCAAATAACATTGTTTACATTTACAAATGAAACATCATATGAGTATTTATTGATTTTTTTAAAAAATTCAAAAAATACATTGTAACAGAACAGAATGTATACGTTCTTCAATGAAAGACAAAACTACGGTTATCATCTGGACCAGAATACAAATACATGCTAACAATTTAAAAATCATTTTGGGTCATTCAGGAAACATGAAACAAGCTAGCTGTTTGCAAATGCAGTAGTTATCTACTTAGTAAATAAGCCTGAGAAATTTAGCTTGCAAAGAAATTGGCTTTTAAACTCTTAAAGACAAAGAGCTTTCTAGGTTGAAATGGTGAAGAGACCTGTGTTGTGCACCTGACAGGCCACTGAGCCACTTCCCACAGAGATTCTATTCACTGCTCCACCTCGGCTCAGCCACCCATCAGCAGCAGTTTCGCATCAATAACCAGGCTTATTCAAGCAAGGTGTTAAAAAGCATGCTAAGATGATGTAAAACCATCAGTTACATACACAGTGGATAGATGTTAATAATTGAGATTCTTTACCAAATTCCTTGGTTTGTATTAGGGCCAAGTAAAAAGCAGTAGTCTAGTTCATGGATGAAACAGATTATACTTTTTGGCTCAAGGTAAGACCCTTTAAAAACAATTTCTACATAAGCATCTAGAATCAAAGCATGAAAAAAACCAGGACAAACACAACTAATCATTTTACAATAACCACATACTGTAGGCAAGTAGGAACCAAAACAGTAACATAAATTGTGCATCGGTTCTATGAAAATAAAGCATTACTAGTAGACACAAGCAATCTGACAAGATGTGAAAGTGAGCAGTGAGAACTCCACGGATTGAACTTCTTTTCATCAGAATTCATCTGTTTCTACTGCAGGCAGGTAACAAATCGAACTCAGGAAGACTGAATTCCTATTAGCAGCTTAACTCTACTACAGTGAGGCTGAGGTTTTTACCATTTGTTTCATTAAGAGACATTCAAACTAACGAAGCAAAAATGACATTTCAAAAATGAAGACCAAAAAAAAGCTGAATGTATATTTTAGACAGAAACAGTCTTAAGTTAAATCCACAACTGATGATATCTGATGTCATCATCATGGCTAGGCTTTGCGAACGAAGATTTGGGGAGGGCTCTACCCACGTTTGTTGCAAGCGTGTTGGATATCTGACGTAAGCAAATGTAATATATCTATGCTGCTTATACCAACAGAACATCTGACACTATTCCTTGAATCCTAGCAGCCTCTTTTAAGTCAATTCCCATTAATGCATACTTTGTAAATTACAAAAAAATCCATTATCAGGCATGCAAAAATTCCAACAGAAACCTCCCATTTCCAGAATTTGGTTATATGATCAAATTACATATGCTAGAGCATATGAAACCAACCTTTCAAATGAAACAAATACACAATTCTGAAAAGGGAAAAAAACCCAAACAAAACAAAAGCTCAAACCAAAAACCTATGACAGGAAAAATATATTTCTACATATCTTGTCCTATCCTCTGATGGTGCAACACAGTAAAATGAGCCATTACCCATATACACATATAAATTTTCATGTAATGTGATAGGGAAGAGGCTTCCTTTTCCCATCTTCCACACCGCAGAAATGACTGGATGTACTACAGAGGCTGCCACTGTCCTATGAAATGTAGAAATTGCTGGGTGCAGGTTATCAGTGATGAAGGACTCATGTACTGACCCAGTATGGTTCATCTTACATTCTATAATATTGACTGTGATGGCAAAAACATTCTGCATTGCTCTGACACCAGGTCTACTTTCACTACTGAGCAAAACATAGTTTTCAAATGTCCTGATCCCAGCCAGAATAGGGTTAATTTTTGTAGTACTTAGAAGGGGGCATGGTTAGGACCCAGAAGTTATTCTACACCACCTCACATCATTGCTGGGGGTGGGGAGAAGGGATTCTCTTCCAGGGAAAACAGGGTCCCTTTCGGTTGAGCAGCATGGTGGAGGAAGTGGTCGGATGTTGTTTATTGTCCAGGGCTTTCCGTGTGAATCCTTCATTTCTTGCACCCTCTGTCATTAGTATTGTTGCTTTTACTGTTCATTTTCTTATCTCATTGCTGTTTCCAGTAAATTGTTCTTATCTCAGCCCTTGATCTTTACCTTTTGGGCCTCCAATTCTCCTCTCCATCCCGCCACAGAGCAAGGGCTGGAAGGGAGGGGGAGAGAGGGAGTGAGCAGCACATGGTTTAGAGAGTCGCAGTGGGAGCACTAAATTGGGGAGTACCATTCCTAAACCATGACAGACTTTTTTGGCACCCAGTGTTGGGCACAAATGGTTGCGATAACAACTGATTTGCCCAGAGTGAGTTGGAAACAAACTTGATCTAAGCATTTGTTGTATTAGGCATAGAGCCACCGATTACAATGTTGCTTGGTCCGTTTATGTGCTTGTGGTACCTAACCCTGCATATATTCCCATATGTGCTGCTCACGATGTTTTTTTTCTGAGCAGGAAAGGGGATCAGGATTGCTTTGTTGCTGTACTGTGTGATATCAGCTTATGATATGATAACATCAAAGGCAATAAGGGTCATTTGGGATGTGTATTCAGTGTTGTTCTTTTGCCTTTTTCTCAGGTGCTACCTCTGGGAGTTTGTTAATAATCGTACCCAGTTTGAGGGGGGAATGGGGAGGATGATTTTCCCCAGCTTTTCACCCCTTCTTCCTTCTTCAGGTCTGTTACAACAGCTTCCGAGAATTTTCAATTCCCTTTGGATGTTAAGGAAAGCATGTTCTTGTTGCTATGTCTGCCAGGTCTCCTCAGTGTGGTCCACACCATGTTTAGTTAAGAAAGATTTCTAGGAAGGTCATTCAGAGATCCTCCCTGAGGGTGAACATTCATGAGTGGCATGGAATATGGGAGAAAATGGGCCAGTTTTGGGGGAAATTATCTGCTCCAATGGCATGGAAGTTCACTCCTGAACAACTACAAGACCTTGATAAAGTGACAGATTACTTGCAAGGAGAATGCTGTGGCAACTCCAGAGAGGAGCAACTTATTGAAATGTATTGAGCCCTGGCTACTCTTCACCGGACACAGTTCAATACTAGACAGCACCCTCATGGGGAGAAGGAAAGCAGACCAACAGGCACTATGGCCACCCAAACTGCAGCAGAACCACAGGAAGCTTGCAGGCTCTTTCTCTGTTATGAGGAGAGATAAACAGATGCTACAGGCCTGTGCATAGGAGAGGACCTGGGGAGGGAGGCCAGTGAAGATAAAAAGCCTTGAAGAGAACAGGAGGAGTGTCTTTCTGAGGCAGTGCTTTTTGCTGCACTGCTAGAAGTTTTTCCCTTGTAAGTCTACTGTTCTCGACTTTGGAATAAATTTTCCTGAACTCCTTCCACTGCTTGGCATTTCAGGGGTACTTGTGTGTTATCTTACTTCACAATTAGGGAAAATTATTCTCTCAAGGATGATCTAGTAGTGCACCCAAGCAGGTGGAACACCATGGAGAAAGGTATCCAGTACCTGAGAGAATTAGCTGTGCTGGAGATAATCTATAAGAATGCAAATAACAAGCAGTCCCCTGTAGATCCAGATGAGGTCCAGTGTACAAAACCAGTTTGTACAGAGCATGTTATCATTGTACACCAACTCACGGGCATTGATGGCAATGAAAGAAGGAGAACAAACAGTGTTTCAGGTGACTACCTGACTCTGGCAACATGAAGATTGTCTTTTTCCTCCCTACTAACCTGAGCCTCAGCTGCAGAAAGACTGTCCAAGACTGCAGATAGATTCGAAAGACTCAAGGAAATTAGAGAAGAAATGTCCCATGTCCCGCCAGTGTGGACCAGACTCTCTTCTATTGGGAGCAAGCACTCCAACAGAAAGCTTGGGAGAAAGAGGGTACACACCACCAGGTAACCAATGGTTCTACGTGCATGACCATGAGGAAGTTGGATGGAAAACCCACCTCTACCGTAGCAGCATGGATACATGAGTTGAGAGGAAGAACAACCACTCCAAGAAATTCTTCAAGGATAGATGCCACTCCAGTTTCCAGAGGGCAAGTCCTCAGAATAGGAGACCTGATGTTACCTCCAATCCTCTTGAATGGACCTCCAGTTCATATTAACAATGAGCAATGAGTACTATTACCAGAACTTGAGGGGCCCTGCCTCCAACCAGGTGGAGGAAAGGGACAATCAGATCTATTGGACTGTGTGGATCCAATGGCCTGGCACATCAGAACCAGAAGAGTGTAAGACTTTAGTTGACATCAGTGCACAATGTATCCCGATGCCGTCAAGATATGTAGGGGCAGAATCCATCTCTATTGCTGGGGTGACAAGGGGAACACAACAACTGACTGTACTAGAAGCTAAAGTGAGCCTGACTGAGAATGAATGGCAAAAACACCCCATTGTGACTGGCTGTGATGGACTCAATTGTTGTTAATGTCTTAAACACTGCCAAAATCATAGAAAGACTTTTTGCCAAACTGCGAGGAAGCAACTGCCTGATCGGAATCTGGACTGTGATGGGAGCTTCAGAAAAGACTATTGCCTAATTTTCTCAGGTCGGAGGAGAAGTAAACAAGGCTCATCAGGTGGTGGAGGAGAAGAGTTTTGGGTGTGTGATTGCGAAATCTCTCCACACCAAACCAAAGGAATAATCTCCAACCACTCCCAGGAAGACCATGTACACACAGGACATTCACAAGAGAGGCACCTGAGAAGGGGTCATAAACCATTAAAGACCCTAGACTCATTCCTGACATCTTCCACCACAAGAGGACTGCATGTGATCCAAGTGATGCAACAAATCCAGAGCCTGTTGCAAGAGACCGTAGAGCTTTTCCCTGCCAGGGTTGGTGCCTGGATATCTGAATGTATATTAATCCATTGGACTCTATGGTGTGTGGGACCCTCACCACCAAGAAGACCAGAAGAACGGAACGCCACTGGGTCCATGGAGTGGTGATACATTTTCTATTTTAATCTTTCTCTGTCATGCTCTTTCTTGTTCCCCCCATCCTTTTTCTATTTCTGTCTCTCTTTCTCTGCCTCACATCTACTGTTAAATAAAATCCATACTATTGACTCTGGCATATGGTCTCATCTGCACCTTAATTTGGGCAAAGGCATTTCTAATAATTTTAATAACTGGATCATAACACTGGCCTAGGGGCCCTGTGCATCCTTGGCACAGATTACATCAGGAGAGGGTCCATTTCAAGGACCCAAAAGGGCTTTGTTGGGCTCTTGGGATAGCTACTGTGGAGACAGAGGAAATCAGCTGAATACCTTGCCTGGTCTCTCAAAGAACCCTTCTGCTATGGGACTGCTGAGGGTTGAAGAATAGTTACTGATGGCCACCGGAATGGTGCACTGTCAGCAACACCGCACCAACCAAGACTCTGTGACCCCCATTGGTGAGATGATTCATGAACTGGAGAGCCCGGGAGTGGTCAGCAAGACTTGCTCACCATTTAATAGTCCTATATGGCCTGTGAGTAAGTCCACTGGAGAGTAGAGACTGAGAGTCTCTCAGTCTATTGTGGCCTGAACAAAGTCACATCACCATTGAGTGCTGCTGTACCAGGCATGCTGGAACTTCAGTACAAACTGGATTAAAGTGGTGCCACCATCAATATTGCTAATGTGGTTTTCTCCATTCCCTTAGCAGCAGACTGCAGGCCGCAATTTGCTTTCACCTGGAGGCGTGTCCAGTACACCTGGAACTGACTGTTACACCCCAACTGAAAAAGAGATACTGGCAGCTTATGAAGGGGTTTGAGCTGCTTCAGAAGTGACTGTCAGCAAAGCACAGCCCTCCTCGTGCCCTGACTGCCAGTGCTGGGCTGGATGTTCAAAGAGAAGGTCCTTTCCACACATCATGCCACCCATGCTACGTGGAGTAAGTGGGTCACATGAGCTCGAATAGGAAACCCCAATCACCCATGGATCTTGGAAGTCATCACGAACTGTCACGAAGGTGAAAATTTGGGACTATCATGATCATCAGAGGAGGAGAAGGTGACATATGTTGAGGAGGCCTCAGCATATAATCAGTTACCAGAAACTGAAAAGCGATATGGTCTCTTCAGTGATGGTTCCTGTTGTATTGTAGGGTAACATCAAATATGGAAAGCTGCCAAATGGAGCCCTACATAGCGAGTTGCAGAAGCTATTGAAGGAACAAGGTGGACCAAGTCAGGCTGCACAGCTGACAGCTGTCCAGTTGGCTGTAGACATCGCTGAACGAGAGAAATGGTCAGTGGATGACTAGCGGATGGTAGCAAATGTTCTGTGGGGGTGGTTAGACCAAGGGAAAAAGACCAGTCAGCAGCACAGAGGTAAAACCATCTGGGCTCCTGAAGTGTGGCAAGACATCTCTGCCTGTGTAGAAAAGTTGGCTGTAAAAGTCCATCATGTAGAGTCAGGCTACTGAAGAGCATCATAACAACAGACAAGTGGATTGAGCTGCCAAGACTAAAGTGTCTCAGGCAGACATGGACTGGCAACATAAGGATGAGTTATTTCAGGCTTGGTGGGCCCATGACACCTCAGGTCATCAGGGAAGAGATGCGACATACAGATGGGCTCATAATCCAGGGGTGGACTTAACCACGGACACCATCACCCAAGTTATCCAGACTACAGAGTACAGCTCTACATGCTCACAATGGTAGAAGCAACCACTGGATCGCTGGAGACGCATCCTGTGCCTTATGCCACTGTCTGTAACACCATTTGGGCCTTGAAAAGCAAGTTCTGCGGCAACATGGCGCCCCAGAGAGAACTGAGTTGGACAATGGGACTCATTTCAAAATTAGCCTTATAGAGACCTGGGCCAGAGAGCACGACAATGAGTGGGTATACCATATTCCCTATCATGCATCAGCATCTGGGAAAGCTGAATGGTACAAGGGACTGTTAAAAACCACATTGAAAGCAATGGGCAATGGGACCTTCAAACATTGGGATATACATTTAACAAAGGCCACTTGCTTAGTTAACAATAGAGGCTCTACCCATCAAGCTGGCCCCACCCAATCAAAACCTCCATGTACCGTAGAAGGGGATAAACTCTCCATGGTGCATATGAGGAATGCATTAGAGAAGATAGTTTGGATTAATCCTGTCTCAAGCAAAGGTAAATGTATCCGTGGGGTTGTTTTTGCTCAAGGATCTGGGTGCACTTGGTGGGTAATGCAGAGGGATGAGGAAATATGATGTATACCTCAAGGGAATTTGATTTCTGCGTGAGAACAGTCCGTAATGTTGAACTGTGTAGTACTGGTTGCTGAATGACCTCTGTATGCCATAATTACCATGGACAGTGAGGATGGACTGCTCCAGATACACCAGTTGTGAGCTCCTGATGCAGCTTGCAATCAGCCAAGAGCACACCAGCCCTCCTGCCCTGGGAGACATCTAAGATGGATAGAATCCACAGTCATGGACTAAATGAACTCAACAGACATCTTGGAGGGACAGCCATTGACTCTGGAAAGGACACCTGTGCTTGTGTATATGTGTCTGTCTGTCTATCTATCTATCTATCTGTCTATCTACCTATCTATCTATCTATATGTATATAGTTGGAAGGTGTAGGATTTGGGCATGTCATAGGGTGAATAATGTCCTGGTTCCAGCCAGGAGACCATTAATTTTTGCAGTACTTAGATGGGGGCATGGCTAGGACCCAGAAGTTATTCTACACCACCTCATATCATTGCCAGGGGTGAGGAGAAGCAATTCTCTTCCAGGGAGAACAGGGTCCCTTCCAGTAGCATGGCAGAGGGAGAGGTTGGATATTGTCTGTTGTCGAGGGCTTTCCGTGTGAGTCCTTCATTTCTTACACCCTCTGTCATTAGCACTGTTGCTGTTACAGTTAGTTTTCTTATCTCATTGCTGTTTCCAGTAAATTGTTCCTATCTCAATCTGTGATCTTTACCTTTTGTGCCTCTAATTCTCCTCTCCAATCCATCACAGGGGAGGGGGAGCGAGCAAGCAGCTCATGGTTTGGAGAGTCTCAATGGGAGCACTAAACTGGTAAGTACCATTCCTAAACCACAACATCAAGTTACTACTAAGAAGTGCAGGGTGGTAAGCAAAGAAATTAATAACCCAGCCTAGACAACAAACACAAAGGTAAGGTGGTTCACTGGTACCTTCTGGATCAGAGTCGAAGGGAGAAACCAATGCCAAAGCAGTATGTAAAGCTTCTATTTCGAAGAGATGAAGACTCTCAAAGAAGTGCAAGTAAAAGGCATAATTTAAGCTTGTAATTATTTGAAGAGAAGACAAAGAAGAGAAAGATGGGCTGCAGTAAGATGAATGTACGGAAGGAACAAAAAAGAGAAGGAGGGATGCGTATATTGGTGCAGAGTTGTATCTCCCGGACCCAGAAACTGCCTCGGACACCATCTAATTTTACAAGATAAGTTACATGCATGCCCACATTCAAGAGGGCAAGAGTGAAACCTTGATGGCAATGCTACGATTCTGGCTGAAGAGCTTCATTTTCCCCCTCCCATACCTGAAAGCCTTGAATCCTTGCCAAATACTCCAGTTGTTTTGAAGGCTGCACTGTAGAACAGGGGGAAGCAGGAGATACTCCTTTTAGACCTATGGCTTCAGCAGTTGGGGACGTTCCATTCATGAGAAGTTCCCTGGCAATCGTAGCCGTGCTATTTGTTGTAGGAGATATGCTGAAGAAAGAGCTGGAAGTCTGGCTCATTTCTTTGGATGACAAATAGCTTACAGTGGTACCAGGGGCTGATTTGTTGCGGCTTGCTTCCATCTCTTGATAAACATCAGGAGAGAGATGGAGTATTCCCTTTGGTGCTGAAAATAAAACCAAAGATCATTCTTATTACTCTAAAATGGGTTTGACACATGTATAATTTTCATTAATACATTTTACAGTGAAAAACATAGTAAGAATTTAGAAGCAATACCTTTCTTTTCGCAGTAACTGTAAATGAAATGGCATAATTTATTTAGAAACAAAGCAGATCTGAAGCGCCCCTCTTTTTCCTCTTCCCCAATTCTTTTTTAAAAAGTTCAAATTTGTATTTTAACACTGTGGCTAGCACAGAATACACAACCTGAACAATATTTCGAGACCTACAAACCATGAGGAACAGATCTTACTTCAAAATAGTAGCACAATCACTATTTACCCTACATTTTTCTACCTCCTTTCTGATACAGTAATCTAGGCTGTTTTTTCACAAATAATTGAAACTAGTCTGTATAAGCACCATTGCCACCAGAAGTAGTTTTAGTTTTCTCTCCCACCAACAGCTGCTGTTTGTATTCTCCTGCTGCTCTGTTGCTTATGCCAGCACCAGCACCTGTAGGACCATGTAGGGATGTTCATGAGAATGAGCTGTTGGAGGCAGAAGAAGGGCAGGGTGGTTTCTTGCAGTAGCAGCTCCGCCTGATGTGCTGGCTTAAAGTGTTTGCTGAATTACTAGGGCAGCCTGTGGTTAAAAACCTTTAAGCTGCCCTGCAACCACATTGTTACTGTGCTAATGACTGATGTGACTGACTGCTCTGCAGTGAAGAGGAATTTATTTATTTATTTATTTATTTAGCTCTATATAGGGCATCCTATAGTTTGCAAATAGCTCCTTGCCTTTGAGAATGTTTAAACTGTATGTGCCATCATTGATATCGACAGGAGTTACAATGAAAATTAAAAAGATATAAATTTATTTATGTGAATTACTTTTAAATATTTCCAGTGATATGTAAATTAGGAACAATGTGTCTACATTTCTAAATTTTAATACATTTTTAGAAAATATCTCAACCTAAACTTGGTTGGAAACATGAGTACATACTTGATCAGTTTTGCTGATATTCCTGTGTCTGGAAATGTGCAGAATTAAGTATGAAGTTTGCTAGTTTTCTTATACAATGAAGCATTTGTTGGAAACACAACTAACCAATTAGCTGATACAAGAGGAAGACTTTTTTCTTATTACTAATACATCATAAAATGAGCTTGAAATGTGTAATTTCTTATTAAGAACATACTTTAATCTTCTAGCATATATCTGAAAATAACATGAGTGAACCTGAGCCATATGGCATTTCATTCTAGGGATAATAAACCTGTTTGTTACCTGATTTAGTAATCCCAAGAGAAATCAAAGGGTTCAATGGTTAATTCACTTGCAGCACATATTAAATTAATTTCAGAATGTAGAATAAATTCAAAGAAGAGAAGGAAATTAATTTCCAGTACCTAGAAAGGATTCCTCTAGTACTAGTAGCGCAAGTAGTACTTTTAAATAAAATGTCTACCACAAGGAGAAGACTCAGAAAACATTACCTGTAATTAATGTCCTCATTTTCAACTATACGGTGAAAATGGAAGTTCCTCACTGCCGACTCAGCAAACTGCTTACAGGTGAATCTTTTAATTGATTTACTTGCACATTTGGCTTTTAAATTCATATTGCTTTCAGAAATCTGGAACATCTGCTTATACCATTCACAAAGACATATCTGTTATTCACCTGATTGCTCTCCCCACCTACCTCTGTAGGGCTGGGGAGCTTGGTTGGACCCTGAACTCTAAGAGTGTTTTACCCAGTTTAGAACTGGCTCCAAAGCCAGTACACTGAACTCCAGAGCTGAACTCTAGAGCTAAACACAAATTCAAGACAATTGTACTCAGAAATATGGAGGAAAGGATCCCTAAAATTTCTTTTTCTCCATCTGGGACAATTTAGAATATAATATTATAGATAAACAACTGTATAAATACACAGCATTATTTTATGGTACATAATCATTATATGATAAGACAGATTTTATACTCTTTTCTGATGCTATAGCCTCCAAGGCCCACCACTGCTCATATTTTTAAATAGTCTTACACAAGATATGACATTAGTGAAAATAAAAAAAAAGGATAATACAGATCTTGATATCTGATGTTAGCTTACAAAACCAAACAGCAACAATAATACTGAGTGGCAGATGTTCACCACCTCCTAAGAACTGCCCACTGTAAATCTGATTTCCCACAAATATTTCAGAAACAGAAATGAAAACTGAACAAAAGATAAAAGTCTACTTGTTTAGAAATAACATAATATTAGCCCCCCCAATCAATTTTAGAAAAACATAGTACAATATTAACTTCAAAAAAGTTTAAAGAAGTTTAAAATCAAATCCAGTGCTGCAGATGTCTGTTCCATTGATGTAATATTACTTAAAACAAACATTTTACATGCTTTCTCAGCCATTTCACTGTTTTTACATGATCCACCCAAATATCTAACTGCTGTCTGGAACAATGGTTTGGAATACTTCCAGATTACTAAGCTTTCTAAATGTTAAAATAACTAATATGCAGCATATGATGAATAAAAAGATATTGAGCCGAGCACAGCAAATGCTCCTAAAGTACTGACTTTAATGGTGATGTTAAATTAATAATAGTACTTTTACACTTTGCAACACCTTACTGTTAAAGACTTCAAAGTGCTTTATAAGCAATAATGAATTCAAATCATACGTTGGCTCTGAGAGGCAGATATTATATTAACATCATTGATTATCTCTGGAAACAAAGTAATGTAATATTCTAGACATTACATTAATATAGTTGCAAGATATTAACTTTTTATATTCAGGACCTATGTTTCATGAAGCTTCTTACAAACTTGTTTTAAAAAGCCAATAAAAACTTGGTCTCTTCGAAAACTTCTATCAAAAAAATATTAATTGTAATTAATTTTCTATTTTTAATATATTACTGAGGATTTTTTAACTATCATTTCTCACTGTTGTATGCTTACTTCAACTCGATTGTATCGTAGGAGAGTGTATAAATATATTTAGTTGCAGCAATAAAGTTATAACATGACAAGGAGTACAACAACAATAGAGGATTAAGTGCAAGAACAAAAGAACTCTTCAGAAATTATCTCAATGAGTCTTCTAACAATCAGTTGATTAAAAAACATGGGAGAAAAAAATACTATCCTCTAACACCTTTATGCATAGCAGGAGAACATCTCCAGGTGAGTGTTTTCATCCTCTTGTCAGTTTTCAGCAAAAAAAAAAAAAAAAAATTGGACTTTTCTGCCCACTAAATATTTATCCCAAACTAACTTCACCATATTCCAAAGGTAGAATTGTAATTACTAGGAGTCACAGGATCTGTAATAGACCAACAACATTGTACCTTCTGCTGGACATTAATTTAGAGGTAGATTCATGAAACATGTTAAAACAATTTCCATTTATATTATTTAAACCTGTGGGCAAATGTGCTACAAAAATACACAGGCTAGCTATGCAACGTAATTACTAACATTTGAAAAGCATGTCCTATTCATTGTTGGCTGTAATTGTTAGCAGTCTCTCACAATCTTCTGAAGTCTATGAAAACACACCAAAGACTTCTCTTACCTAAGAACAAATTTCTTCATCTTCCACTGTCTACTTTTGCTGTCAGTACTAGATAACTGCAACACAGTTTAGACTCCAAAGCAAATGTATGATTAACATACAAAATGGCTCAACTATCTTTCATAAGCCTTCCCCCGGAAATGTAATCTCAGTGCTTTACACCTTTTTTCATAGCAGCCATAGCAGAGGTGGTCTTCAAAAGTTCTGTTTGAGTGGTGTTATTTTTATCACTTATCCTTTCTCTGTAGTGTCCCCTTGGCTGGGAAAACAGGGGGACCTTTCTACAAAAGGGTCCTCCACTGTCTGGAATTCATGGAAAACAAAACTAACCATCAGAGGAACTTTCTGCATGGGGAATGGGGTGAGGAAGGAGAACAACTGACAATATTACCAAATGAGCCTCAGTGTAATAAATAAGACTGCAAAAAAATGGAATTTGCTGATACGGGGACAGTGACAAGTTACCCCACCATGATGGGCTACTAGATTAAGAAAAGTTCAGAGTGATGACAGTGTGCCCTGCATGTTCACAGGTATTAGTGTCTACACGGGTACCACTGGTGACTCATTTCTAATTTTCTGTTTCTGTCAGGAAGACCAGAAAACATCAGAAGTTGAGATTTCAGTTCTATCATTCAGCTCCACAAGATGGCCTATAGAATCAGGCTTGTGTTGTCAATCTGCACATACATATATATTTGTCTGCATTAATTTTCTCTTTTCTACTTGATCAAGTATCATGGGGATACATTTCTTCTGCCTTCGTTCAATAACTTCCCCTGGTTCAAGGTCACTCATTGACTTTTCATGTTTATGAACACTCGGTATATGTGGTCTAAACCACAACTTTATTCTTGCTTAGAGAATACAATTTTCTCCCTAGGCTCTTGCTTATCCTATAGGAAAGGTATAGTTGTTCATGTGTCAGAAGCAGTGTCAGCTGGTATATGACTTCCCTCGACACTGCTGAAGAGCACATGTTCTTCCCTGCACTACACTGAGTGACATGGCGCATCAGCATGAAGGAGTGCTTTCATGTCTTGTGTAATGAGGCAGAGTAAAACATGATATAATTCTGTATGTGACACACTCATAAATTAAGTTTAGCACCCTGGTATTTAAAATAACCCTTCACTGGATGAAGGAAAGACTGTTCATAAAGAAATAATCAGTATTTTTGGAACTCAATAAAATATTCAATGGAAAATCATCAAAAAGCTCTTTCAGATTATGCTACCTGTATTCACATTGAATAAAGCCTTCTTATAATGTGCTACTTAAAGTACAGGGTAAAATCTTGTAGAAAGGCAATAAGAAGGAAAGCTTAGAACCAGATCTCATCCTGACTTCACAATTTTGTAAGTTAAAATGGACAAGAACTTAAGAGGCATGGAGGACACTCACATGCA